ATATATATATATATATATATAGTGTGTGTGTATATTTACTTATACATACGTATATATGGAGCCCTGATAGCATAGAGGATTATGAGTTGGGCTGCTAACCACAGGTGATCAATCCAAATCTACCAGTTGCTCCACAGGAGAAAGGACAGGCATTTTGCTCCATAAAAGATTTACAGTCTCGGAAATTCTGTACATGTTGGAACTGACTCGACAGCATTTAACGACATACAGATCGATCGATCGATCAATAGACAGATATAGTTATTGTTGTTAAGAGCCATCGAGTCGGTTCTGACCCATAGCGACCCTGAATAGGGTTTCTGAGGAGCAGCTGGTGAGCTTGAACGACCAACCTTGCAGTATATATATAGGAACTCTGGTAGCATAGTGGTTACAAATCGGGCTGTGAACCGCAAGGTTAGCAGTTCGAAACTACCAGCTGTTCTGCGAGAGGAAGAGGAGGCTTTCTGCTCCTGTAAAGATTTACAGCCTCAGAAACCCAGTACAGGGTCGCTATGAGTCAGAACCAACTCCACGGCACACCACCACCACCACCCATATATGTATGTATGTATGTATTATATGTATATACATATATACATGCATACATAAATTCAAAATTAAAGTGTTAAACATAAATTGAAAAAAGAAAAAGCACTATGATGACACATATAAACAAAGGAATCCGTTCTTTATCTGATCTTACACATACACACATACAGATCTAGAGAGAGGTGGGGAAGAGAAGAGATAGCACAGCACACCTCAGATAAGGTTCATATTTTTAAAGTCTGGCACAGATATTAAATTATGATTCTGGTTTTCTACATTTACTATTATGTCATAACATTGCAGAAATCACACTGAGAAAAAGTATTAATGCTCATAATACATTATATGAGGAAAAGGCTTAAAAAAGATAAGCATATGTATTTTATTTACAACAGATCTATATGAGCTGCATGAGCAGTTGTTGTTAAGTGCCGTCGAGTTGATTCCAACTCGTAGTGACCCTGTATAGGATGTTTCCAAGGAACAGCTGGTGAGCTTGAACCACCGACAACTTTGAGGTTCAAACCAACTTTGCAGCCCAGTGCATTAACCCACCATGCCACGGCTTAATTTTTTATTTTATAGAAAATAAGTAAATTCCTGCTATTTTTTTCCTCATGCCAACAGATTATCTGGTACATATTCATACCTGTTATGTCATTCCAGTGGCTCAAATTTTTGTCTCCTTCCCTTGTTATCCTGGTTGTCTCTTCTTAGCAGTATCTTCCATATTGCCTAAGAACTCCTGAATATATCCAGTAAACTGGAACATACAGTTACTGCCCTCAAAGTCTTTCAGCTACTAAAGTAGAGACTAAGCTCAAAAATCTAAAAATTGATGACAGCCTTGAGGAAGGCCAAAAAAAAAAACAACCCTATCCAAGGCTTCTAAACAGTCAATGAACAGTCTCTTAGGACAAATTAATGTTCTCAAAGGAAGTTTCTTATCTTTGTGATGCCTCCCAATCATTTCATGTCAAACAACTGTATAAACTACCTACCTGATGCAGTGGTGTAGAGTAAGCACTCAGCCACAAGGTTGGTTTGAACTGCAAGGCTAGTGCTTTAACCTCACCAGCTGCTCCTTGGAAATTTTATACAGGTCGCTGTGAGTCATAACCAAACGACTACAGGGCACTTATACAACTACAACAATGTTCAATTGATCGGCCAGTTCTAGCACTTGAGGTCTAATTGCTCATGGCTTCCAGGGCCCCACTCTTCAGTAAGCAAGTTGTGAACTTCCCTATTCAGCTGGCCTTTTCTTCCCAGAGCACTATTAACTGATGAATTGTTGTTAGTGCCATTGAGCCAGTTCAGACTCCAAGTGTCCCTGTACAGGGTATCTGACAGTGGCGGGTGGGTGGGTTTGAACTGTTGACCTTACAGTTACCAGTCCAGTGTTAATCCTACAATACCACACCAAGTCTCAATAGATGAATTGAAAGGGTTTTTTAAAAACGGACTCCTTGACCCAGTAAGTCCAAAAGAGTCGGATAGTCGTCTAAAAGTTAAAAGTTTTCAAAAAGTTTCAGGAAACCAAGGGTAGCAGTAAAGCAAGTCTGGGGAAAATAAATTGAAATGAAAAGGGGGAAGGGCCATTCAACAAAAACAAGAATGAAACTAACAAAACAATTTCTTAAGCAGTATACACTTACTCCTCATGACTAGCTTATAATATTTTGTACTTATGAGAATAAAAAAACCCTACTATTTTGCACATTAATGATGCATGTCTGGCAGTAATGAACAAGAGGTCCCTGATGGAATCCCTAACTGATGTACATGTTGGAAGAAAGCTCATATTCCTGTTTGGGAGGGAGGAGCAGGTACAGTCTCCCCAAAGATGCTAGACAGACCAGAGGAGGAGGGAACTTGATAGGGGCTGATAAGGACAAAGGCTGCCCAGTGGGCCCTGGGTGTCCAGGGCAGCTGAGGCCAGGGCAGCATCAATCAAGGTATTGAAGGTATGTCAGACTCGGGGCTGAGGAGGAAATAGTACCCCTGCTACTAGTGTTCCAATCCACAAACATGGAACATCTTTCCATTTATTTAGTCATTCTTGGTATTACTGGCAATATTAAATCTGACTATAATTTAAATGAAGGCTTTTAAATCAATCCTTCCTATAGGATAACACAAAATGCAAACATGTCAACCTTTACTAACGATGTTAACTTCTAATCTTCAAAGAGAAAATATGTACGCTACACTATTTTTAGTGATTTGTGACATTTTTAATTGAGCTTGCAAAGGAGGGAGGAAGCATTCTTCTCAATACATTCAATCACACCTTTTCTCCTAATGTTAAATATCTACCAAGCAATGTAAAAGATACAAAATCCCTCTTTTCTTCTTTCACAGAATCCCCAGTCACGTTCATCTTGAAATACGTTTTTCTAAATCTTCTTAATACTCACTTGGCAAAAGCATTTCTTCTATTAATCTCTTTTTGGGAAGAAGCAGAAGTTGTACTGAAACTTCTCCTAAAACCTATAAATATGAAAGTTGGTGTTAGAAGAATAAAAATATCACAAATATACAGTCTTTATTAAATGTTAAACCTGGTCACTTTTTTCTGGGCACATGCTAATACGTCAAATGTTTCTTCAGAAATAGAAAGCAAAAAGGGAAGCATATCTACAGAAAATAATTACAGTTTAGATTTCTTGACAAACTTTTATCTAAAATCTAACAGGCTCTATACCTTTCTCATCAAACTATGCCCATACATATATCAGTTACGGCTTTAATGTTACTTTGGAGATTTTGTTTTAAGATTTCTTGGGAGCCAGGCAAGATGGCACTGAGCTGACTATCTGCAACAAAAACATGGGAGACCAAGTGAAATAGATACAGATGGTGATCCTAGAACTCCGAGCATCAGAGGATAGGGCAGAGAGGTGGATTAAGTGCCAACTGGAAGAGGAAACTGAGAGAAGAAAAACCGATGGACTGTGGGCTGGCATGGAATGGCTTGACCATCTTGGGCTTTTGCAGGTGGCTGTTGATATCACAGCCTGCAGGTACAGGATGTAGCTGGAGGTTGGTAGCATCGGGGTCCAGTTCTTCCTTGTTCCCATGCCTTCCTGGTAGCTTGGGGTAAGTCCCTGCCCTTGCCAACCTAGCCCCTCCTACACAGCCTCTGTTCTGCCAAGCATAGCACATTGCTTCTGGAGTCACCTGAACTCACCCTGAATTATGATGAACAGGGAACTACCTGTGTTCACACTTCCAGTCTCTACCACATCCGGGAGACAGGAGGTGAGTGCCTGAGAACATACCAATACACAATTATCAATTAAATACAAATGCAATACCATGTCTCAGAGCAAACAGACAATTCCAGATTATATGAACAAGACAGAATGCCTCAAACAAGTAACCAAAATACAGAGTCAAAATATATAAAACTAGAAATGGTACCAGAAGTGCCTGATAAGGAATTTTAAGAATGCTAATTAGGCAACTTAAAACAGATTGACAGGATGATAGAGGAAACTACAGATGGAATCAAGGAAAAATTGACAAAACTTTAGAAGAATTCATGAAACAAACTGACAAAATAAATGAAAAAATGGGAACCAGACAAAAACAGCATTCAAAAAGCCAAAAGATTAACACTAAGACTTTAGAAATAGATTATACACTGAAAGGGCAAAGACGTAGCATTGGAGCAATGGAAGGCCAAATTACTGAGCTTGAAGAAAAAATCACCTGCTAGAGGAACAATCGGAGAAAAGAACAAAACATCCAGAGAAATCCTAAGATTTATGTGGAACACTATCAAGAAGAATGTGATTGCAATTCCAGAACAAGAAGAGACAAGGAAAAAAAAAACAAAAAAACCCATAAAGACTACTGCCCAAGAGCTGTTGGAAGAAAACTGCCCTAACATCATGAAAGAAAGAAAATAAGCATTCAAGAAGTTGAACAAACTCCCAACAAGACAGATCCAAAAGAAAAACACAAAGATATACTATAATCAAACTTTTCAAAACCAAACACCAGGAAAAAATCATACAAGCAGCTCAAAAAAAAAAAAAGAAAGTTACCTACAACAGAAAACTAATAAAACTAAACTCTGACTTCTCAGCAAAAACCACGCAGACAAGATTACAATGGAATAATATATATAATACTCTGAAACAAAAACACTGCCAACCAAGGATTATATATCCAACAAAATTGTCCCATCAAATATAATGGAGAAATTAGCTCATTTTCAGTTAAACAGAAATCAAACGTATTTGTACAAACCAGACCAACCTTACAAAAAATACTACAGGGGATTCTTTAGACAAAAAACCAACAACTGCAGACAACAATCTGAAACTAACATATATGACAATATCACCTAGACTCAAACCAGATATGGAAGTATTCAAAGAAAAACAGACTGAAAATAGAGAACCAGAGGTACAGCTGCAACAACAAAAAATCCAGTAAAAAGAGGGCATAATATAGTTATAGAACTTTCAAATGAAAAGGAAATCACATATATTTCAAGAAAATATAAATAAAAATAAAACCTAACTGTAATCCTAAAAAAGACAACAAACCTTACCCTCCTAGGCCGAGGCTCAACCCCTATCCTAGTCCTAACCATAATACTAACATTAATGAAGCACTAGGCCTAGCCTAGACTTAGCCATTGTGCTCTCACTTCTTACTCCTACCTATCCCTACCTACACCCAAAATAAGTAAAAATTATAATGACCCACTGATTCTCTCCTCCTAAAAAAAAAAATTCCAAACGGCATTCTGTCTTTAAAAACTGTTAAAAAAATTTCTTGAAAATCAAGTAAAACTGAACCACACACTGATAAAGCTAACATTAAATACATATCTTGTTGTTGTTAAGTGTCATTGAGTTAATTCTGACTAATAGTAACCCTGTATAGGGTTTCCAAAGGAGCTCTGGTAATATAGTTGTTACGAACTGAGGTGCTAACCTCAAGGTCAGCAGTTTGAAACTACCAGCCGTTCTGTGGGAGAAAGATGAAGCTTTTTGCTCCTGTAAAGAGGCCATGGAACGAGGGATATCACTGCTGATGCCTGATGGATCTTGGCTGAAAGCAGACAATATCAGAAAGATATTTACCTGTGCTTTATTGACTACGAAAAGGCTTTCAATTGTGTGGATCATGACAAGTTATGGACAACATTGTGAAGTATGAGTATTCCGGAACACTTAATTCTGCTCATGAGGAATCTGTACATGGACCAAGAGGAAGTTGTTCGAAGAGAATCATGGGAACACTGAATGGTTAAAATTAAGAAAAGTGTGTGACAAGGTTGTATTCTTTCACCATATGTATTCAACCTGTATGCTGAACAAATAATCTGAAAAGCTGGGTTTTATGAAGAAAAATGTGGCATCAGGATTGGAGGAAGACTCATAAACAACCTGCGATATGCAGATGATACAACCTTGCTTGCTGAAAGTGAAGAGGACTTAAAACATTTACTGATAAAGATCAAAGAGCACAGCTTTTGGTATGGATTACATCTCAATATAAAGAAAACAAAAATCCTCACCACTGGACCAATAAACAACATTCTTATCAAGGGAGAAAAGACTGAAGTTGTCAAGGACTTCATTCTTCTTGGATCAACTATCAACACTCACGCAAGCAGCAGTCAAGAAATCAGACGACTATTGCATTAGGCAAATCTGCTGCACAAGACCTTTCTAAAGTGTTGGAGCAAAGATGTCAGCTCGAGGACTAAGGTGCACCTGACCCAAGCCATGGTATTTTCAATAACCTCATATGCATTCGAAAGCTGGACAGTTAATAAGGAAGACCGTAGAAGAATTGATGCTTTTGAGTTATGGTGTTGGAGGAGAATACTGAAAGTGCCATGGGCTGCCAAAAGAACGTATCTATGTTGGAAGAAGTGCAGCTAGAGTGCTCCTTGGGAGGAGGCCAAGATGGCCAAACTTCATCTCTCATACTTTGGATATATTGTCAGGAGGTACCAGCAACTGGAGAAGGATATCATGTGTGTTAAGGTGGAGGGCCAGAGAAAAAGAGGAAGACCCTCAATGAGATGGACTGGCCAAGTGGCAGCATTGATGGACTCAAGTGTGGCAACAGTAGTGAGGTTGGCCCAGGATCAGGCAGTGTTTCGTTCTGCTGTGCACAAAGTCGCTATGAATCGGTACTGACTCTATGGCACCTAACAACAACAACATGGGCAAAATTATGCAAAAAGCATCAAAAGAAGATAAAAGGAATACACAGAGTCACTGGACCAAAAGAAATAGTCCATGTTCAACCACTTCAAGAACTAGCATATGATAAAGAACAGATGGTACTAAAGGAAGAGGTCCAAACTGCACTGAAGGCATTGGCAAAGAACAAGACTCCAGGAACAGATGGAATACAAATTAAAATCTTTCAACAAACCAATGCAGTTCTGGTGGCACACATTCATCTATGATCAGAAATCTGGAAGAAAGTACCTTTCCAGCCAATTGGAAGAGATACGTATTTGTGCCCATTCCAAAAAAAGGTGATCCAACAGAATGTGTAAATCATCCAACAGTATCATCAGCATCACATACAAATAAAATTTTACTGAAAATAATTCAAAAATAGATGTAACAATTTACCAACAGGGAACTGCGAGAAACTCAAGCCAGATTTACAAGAGGAGATGGAACTAGGGTTATCATTGCTGACATCAAATGGATCTTGGCTGAAAGCAGAGAATACCAGAAAGATGTTTCCTTGTGCTTTATTTACTATGCAAAGGTTCTTGAATGTGTGGATCATAACAAGCTATGGATAACATTGCAAAGAATGGATATTCCAGAACACTGGATTGTGTTCAAGAGGAACCTGTACATTGACCAAGAGGCAGTCATTCTAACAGAACAAGGGGGATACTGAATGGTTTAAAATCAGGAAAGGTGTGCACCAGAGCTATATTCTTTCACCATATGTATTCAATTGGTACACCGAGAAGCTGTATTATATGAAGAATGTGCCATCAGGATTGGAAGAAGACTCATCAATAGCCTTAGCTATGTATATGATACAACCTTGCTTGCTGAAGGTGAAAAGGAATTAAAACACTTATTCATGAACATCAAAGACCACAGTGCCTTCAGTAGGGATTACACCCCGATGTAAAGAAAACAAAAATCCTCACCAATGGGCCAATAAATAACATCATGATAAGTGGAGAAAAGACTGAAGTTGTCAAAGACTTCACTGTTCTTGGATCTACAATCAACTCTCACAGAAGTCAAGAACTCAAATGACCTATTACACTGGGCAAATCTGTAGCAGAAAACCACCTCTTTAAGTGTTCAAGAGCATAGATATCAGTTTGAGAACTGAGGTGTGATTACACATACACACATACTCACACAAAGTAAAATGAAAAGCTACAAACTGGGCAAAAATACTGAAACACATAAAACTGACCAAAACTAGTATACAGTGCACATTAATGCTCACTATAACATTATTTAAATAACTAGAAGGTGGAAACAACCCAAGTGTTGCCACCAGATGAATGGATAAACAAAATGGGATATACACATGCAAATACAAATTCACTGCCATCAAGTCAATTTTGACTTATAGTGATCCTATAGTACAAAGTGAAGCACTCCATAGTGTCTGAGACTGTGGATCTTTATGCAAGCAAACTGCTTTGTCTTTCTCTCTTAGAGTGGCTGGTGGGTTCAGTCAGCAGTTCAATGTTTAAACCCACTGTGCCACCAGGGCGCCTTTCTTTCCATACAATGGTATAGTATTCATCCATAAAGAGAAATGAAATTGACACATACTACAACATGACTGTCGCTATGGGTCGGAACCGACTCGATGGCACTTAACAACAACAACAACAACATGACTGAAAGGAGCTCTGGTAGCATAGTGATTATGAATTGGGCTGCTAATCTCAGGGTCAGCAATTCGAAACTACCAGCTGTTCTGCGGGAGGAAAGATGCGGTTTTCTGCCTGTAAAGATTTACAGCCTTGGAAACCCTATACAGGGTCACTATGAATCAGAACCGACTCCACAACATATAACTACCACCACCACCACATGACTGAATTTTGAAAGCGTACTGAGCAAATTTAATCAGACCTAAGGGCAAATATTGTGTGACCCCACTTCCCTGCGACATTGAGAATAGGCAACTGCAGAGAGAGAAAAGTTTATTAGTGGTTATCAGGGAATGAGGGAGAAGGGGGTGGGGGTTTATTGAGGGGCACTCAGTTTTTCCTTAAATGATGAAAAGCGTTTGAAAATGGATACTGTCACTGACTCATTCTGAAATTGTTAAATTGGCAAATTTTTGTTATATAAATATATACATCTGTAATTAATATTTTTAAAGGCAAGTTACAGAAGTGCAAATTTAAAAAAAGATTACTATCTGTACTATACAAAGAAACCAACAAATAAATACGATGAAGGCAAACTTCTCAATAGAAAATTGTCAAGAAATTTGAACAGATACTTTATAAAAAGAGGAAATATGTATGGCCCATAAACATCCATTTGCAACTGAGAATACCATTTCTACCCACCAGATTGGAGAAAGCTTCTATACTAGCAATGCCAGTGTTAGAGGGGTGAGAGGCAACAGACTTCTCACTCACTGTTGCTGGGAGCGTGCACTAGAAAGTTTGGCACTGCCCATGAAGAAGACAAGAGTTTCTGCCTTGGAACCTACAGAACCCTTTGTACATGAGCATGTGTGCCAGAGTTTTAGTAGGAAAACATGGGATATAACCCAAATATCCATCATCATTGAATGCCCAAACAACAAGCAATACCAAACATAGACTCATCATGGAGACACATATGAAGGGGCTTAGCAATGTTTAAAAGATAACGGCACTTTTCCAAGAACGTTTTGATGCTCCTTTGTATATGTGGGTGATCAAAGTATAAAGTAAAGCCAGGTATAATTAATAAACATGTGCATTATCTTTTAACTCCATTTTTCCATGAACTTTTTGAAACCCCATTCATACATATTAGTGATCAAAATATAAAGAAAAGACAGGCATAATAAAAACAATTCAAGGCAGTCAATAATCGAAGGATGGAGTACATGAAGACAAAAGTAGCTCAGACCAGAAAGGGTTTACTCAGGGGTTGCGACAGTACAGGGAAACATCTTCAATTGGATGGCAGGTAACAGATGTTTGCTTTATGATTGATTATATGAACTGTAAAATATATGTTACAAACTTTTTATATGCATATATACTTTACAATAAAAAAAAAGTATATAAATAAAATCAGGAATAATTATTAGGAACACAAAACTGTGATCTTACCAGGATAAGAATGATTCTGTTTATTTGATGAAATTTCTGAAAGAGTATCCAGGGAATCTGTTATTCTATGAATAAAGGAAACAAATTATGCACATGTCATCACAAAGAGCTGATCCTAAGATTTAAGTCTGACCCTCAACTGCGGGTCTACTACTGATTCCTATTTGTTGTTTCATTCACTCAACAAACATTTATTGAGCATGGAGGAACTACCCCATATGCAGTAGAGGGAGAGATGCAACAATCAGAATAATTCATACTAACAACTAATATCTAAAAGTGAATGCACCTAAAGATCTAACTTTTATGTCTTTGGCATTTTTTTCTTCAGAAGTGGAACTAAAAAATATGAAAATAAGTTTATTTTGTATTCAACAAATGTTTGATTCTAATTGTGAAAATGTCACTAATTCTTAAAAGAAAAGAGACATTGGGCTGATGTATGAAATATGTGTCGTTATTCTGATAAAGCCATATGGTTAAAACAATTCAACATCCTTTATTTCATATTTGAGTCTAAAACAATCATAAAGGTCATTTTCCCTAGAGGTTTCTCTTTATTTTTTGATATTCAAATGTTTGTGTGTGTTTTTTTAAAGGTCAATGCTGACAGCCTCGTTTTCTTTCAACCGTGCGCTAATCTAAATCTGCAAAGCCTTATTTGTCAATCGTTTCCTATGGCCGGATTTAACCCAGTGGAGAGACCCTGCAACCCTTGCAGTATTTGCAATTTCATCTTGATATTCCTAGGAATCATTTTTACATGTTATCCAACACACATCAGCCAACAAGAGACTGAAAGACACAGAGAATACGGCTGGATAGACTGACAGACACAGAGATTATGGTAGGAGACACAGGACAGATATGTGAATCAAGCGGTGAGGGAGAGTTGACAGGAACATCATTTCAATGGATTGGTTCATTAGTAGTATCTAGTGGTGAGAAAATGAGTACTATACTAATGAAGACCACCTGGGCAATATATATGGATTCTAGCATGTAAATGGAGCCCTGATGTGGCACTATGGGCTAATGCGTTAGACTGCAGAGTCATTTGACTGCAAGGTTGGTGGTTCAAGCTCACCAGCTACTCCTTGGAAACCCTATACAGGGTCTCTATGGGTTGGAATTAACTCAATGGTACTTAACAACATTATATAAATTATTTCACACTTGATCTGATGGAGTTTTCTTAGAGTTTCTTTTAAATTAGCAATGATTGGTTTCTAGTCCTACATTAGCACAAGAAATGAAGTTATCCAGATAGATAAACATTCAATAGAGATAGACAGATCTAGATGGCCATTCAGGCAGACCCACTATCCTCAAGTGGGTTCCCTGTACGGGGTTTCTGAAGCTGTAAATCTTAACAGGAATAGACAGCCTATCTTCCTCCTGAGGAGTGGCTGCTGAGTTTGTGCTGTCGACCTCATGGTTAGCAGTGTAGTGCTTATCCTAAAGTGCCACCAGGGCTCCTTCCAAGCAAGGAAGGAAAACCCAACAACAAAGGCCTGCTGCAATCTTGAGGAAGAGTGAGATGCAAGGTCAGATTGTCCTGACCACACTTCAGACAGTCCTGATACAGTCCCTAGTTAAAAACTCTTCCATCTTTTAGCTCTGTGGTGTCTTTAAAGAGCTCCAACGCTAGTTTAGATTAGAAATGCCACAAAATCAGAGACTGTGTCTGTTTTATTTGCTTATAGAACGCCTAACACAGCACAAAGTGCTAAAAGACACTTAATAGTATTTGATGATGATGAATGAGACAATCAGAAGATGACAGGAAGACAGCTGGATTGAGATAGCAGTTCATTTAGAGAGAGAGCCCAGTTTCTTTTAAGGAAGAGAGGCTGCTTTTAAATGAACCACCTTAAAGAAGACCAAATAGGAGGAAGGCAAAAACCAAAGTAAACAAAAAAAGGATGTTCTACAAACAAAGAGAGAGAAACAATGAAAAAAGTGGCTTCACAATAGAAAGGAGAAGAAAAAAAGCTATTACAGTATAAAAAGCACTGAAGTAGGAATCAGTGGATTTGATCAATATTTACTGTGCCTGCCATATGCTAGAGTATGCTCTCTGGGGAATCAAACATAGAAAGAAAGAAAAAAATGTAAAAACCCCAGCTCTGATGACTGGGAGACAAACAAAACTTCTAAGTTTTAAGTGCTGCAGTGATTAAAGGAAGACGTGCTCAAGTATAAAAACACCGAAGGCTGACTGGTGGTGACTCAGCATGGACTTTATATCCAGGTCAGTGGGATAGAGGCCTTGAAGAGAGTCACTGGGCCTCTTAACAATCATGGGTCATGGTTAGGAGCACACACTCCCCCCCATGTAGGAACTGGAGACACTTGCACAATTCACCATTGACCTCTGTGCCTTCCTTTCCTCACCTGTGAAATAGTACCCAACTCACCAGGTTGCAATAGAGAAACAAATGAGTTAATACATAGTTGGAGCAGTTCTACTCTGTCCTTTAGGGTTGCTGTGAGTCAGACCAACTAAACGGCACCAGGTTTGTCTTTTGGTTCTGTGTTTTTAAACACTTGTAAGTAGAGTCCTGGTGTGGCGCTGTGGATTAATGCGCCAGACTGCAAAGCTGTCTGAACTGCAAGGTCCAGCTGCTCCTTGGAAACCCTATACAGGGTCGCTATGGGTTAGAACCTACTCAACAGCACTAGCACTGAACAACAAAAGGCACTTAAAGGGAGTTCTGGTGTGGCGCTGAGAATTAATGCATCAGACTGCAAAGTCATTTGAACTGCAAGGTCGGTAGAGTTCAAGCTCACCAGCTGCTCCGTGAAAACCCTATACAGGGTCGCTATGGGTTAGAATCGACTCAACAGCACTTAACAACAACAACAAGGTACTCAAAACAGTGTCCAGCACAAGTGCTTTTTATTAGCTATTATCTCTTTTTCTTAAACAAACAAAAAAAAGCGCAAACCATCTGAAAAGATTTAAAAATATAGTTTAAAGCCATCAAGGCAAGCAATCAAGTTCCCTCAGGACAAACCCCCTCTGAGACTGAAACTCAAAAGGAACACATGAACAGGCACATAAGCTTCCAATCACCAGGAGACCACATTGGAAGAGGGGGAAAGGCAGGAATGAAGAAATGGGCTGAGTTCAACCATGTTTCATGGACTCCCGTTGACCTGGAGATGAGACAGAGAAGAGGAAGGGCGGTTGATCCAATGTGTGGTGAGACCTGAGGACACTTGAGCCATGGACAATGACATAGTCATGGAGGGCTGGAGTTGAGAGTGAAGCATCCAGCTGATATGAAGTGAGGGGAGACACACACGAACACCCAAACTTGCATATAGTACCCATCTGACCTAGCTTCAATGGCTAGATGATCAGAACTCGACTAGAGGAAGA